AACCTGCAACGTTAGTAACCTACAATAATGGTTATATTCTCCACTCCTTCTCTTCCCGCAAAATTTACTGTCGTCAAAGGGGCATTTAAGTTTTAAAAACTGATTTTAAAAACTCAGTGTGGTTCATCTCACCTACATAGTTAAATATTTCCATGGTTCGCTACCATTTGACTGTTTTATTTTTCTTCATCATGCGTACCGATATCTGACACTGTACTATATATTTGCTTATTTGTCTGTCTTCTCTCATTAGAACATGACTCCACAAATATAAGGGCTCTACTTGATCTATTTTCTAGTGTATTCTTAGCACACAGAATGATGCCTGGCACATAGTAGGTGCTCAGTAAATTTGCGCTGAATGCACAAACCCATGAATGAATAAGCCCATTTCCTACCTCCTTTTTGTAAGCTCTTCGGTCCCACTACATGGATTTTTATTAGATTCCCCTACCAACTGGAACTTGCAAAAATCATTTAAATTTCTCCCGGGTCCTAGTTACACCATGTGTTAACTGGGATTAATAATGGCTCTCCTACTTACCTTCAGGGATTGTTATGATCATCAGTTAAAATAATGTATGTCAAAATGCCTTAAAAGCTATAAATTGCTATACAAACATGAGCCACTATGATTCCCATCCCCACCCTGCCCCACAATATTATATCACTTCATAGCCTTACCTACCTTTGGAATCTACTTTGGAACCAAGAAGAAAAAAGGGGCTTCAGAGAAACCAACATCAAAATAAAGATGACAAAGTCTGCATGCCAATGTATGTGGTTTTCTCGTAATAAAGTCCCTAGGCCTCCTCTCACAATCTTCTTCCTTTCTCACAGGCTTTACTTCCAAATCTAACAAGTTTGCTTCCCCTCTTTTGGTGGACCAGGAAGGGGGAAGAGGGTAATTGTCTGAAACAGGTATGTTGATAACAGAGTGCTATATCACTTTTCCTGCTGCCCCGAGCAAACGGCAGCACCAGACCCGTAGACTCCCCAACCATGGGGATCTGGGACTCTCAAGGGCAGAGGCAAGCTGCCCCAATTCCCCTGTGGGTAGCGGGTCACTAGGTGGCCACTGGGGAAAGACAGAGTCACCGTGGTGATCCTCTGTCATTGAGGAAAGGTTCAAGTACAGTCGGTTCTATATTTACGAAGCAGAGAAGGGTGTGTAATGAAGTCCAGGTAGACTTCCAAACAAAATGGTGAAAATACAGACTGTTCCCAGCCAAACAAGCTAACCGGCAGTTATAGATGGAAAATATTCTCGGCTAAACAGCTGATGTTATTAGATACATTAGGCTTTATACCATATTGCTCTCTGAACACAGTGGAGAAAAAACTTTGGGTGACGATGTTTAGTACCTCACACTGTTTATTTTAAATGTGGCTTCGACAGGCTGATGGGATAGGATGTGGATTTTAGCAAATGTACAACACAAAGAAAGAAGGCTCTCTATAGTTAACTCCATCCACACGTGGCAGATATCATTTGTGAAGAAGCCACTCTGTGGCTTAGGACAAATAGGACATTTTAATCCTAGCTTGGCCCTACCAGGTACTTCTGAGTTTGAAAACAAATTTGCATTTTCAGTCACCTAAGCAAGCCTTAATTAGAAATGCAAATCTGCTATGTGTACCAAAGGGTCAAATACTACCTCTAAGACAAAGAGATAGGCTTTGGGGATTATGCAGTGTTTTGAATGAATGGTAACAGCACTTCTTTCCAGTAGTGTGGATAATTAAGAGACAAATCTCTAATGTAACTAACAACTAGTCCCCACAAGGAACTAAACCAATAAGCCGTGTGCCAAAAACCTCACAGGGCAACACAGATGAACTTACAGACTTCAGAGCCAGAAACAACTCGGGAGAGGATTTTATCCATGGTTGTTAAACCTGGCTGCAAATGAGAAGGACCTGGGGAGCATTAAACAATACTAACTCCGAGACCCCACACTCCAGAGATTGTTTTAATTTGGCAGGCAACCTGGCACTCATACTTGTCAAAGCTCCCCAGGTGTTTCCAAGATGTAGCCAAGGTCCAGACTCACTGAATTAGTCCCCTGGTTCCCAAACTTGTGCTATAGATCAGCTCTCTAAAAAGGGATTTCCAAGCTCCCCCCAGAACTACTGAAGTAGAATCTCTGGACGCAAGAGGCTGGAAATCTCTATTTAAAAAAGACAAAAACAAAAACGAATCAAAAAACAAGTATTAACGCTGCCCATTCTGGTGTGAGGACCACTGATTTAAGAGGTGCGAGTCGCTGGTGTGCTGGGACGCTGGCTCTTCAAAACAGAAATAACAAAACAGAACAAAACAACAAACCTTGATGTGTAGTACCTGCCAATTTCCAGGGTGTAAATATTCCCTCCATGGCGGAGTTCGAGCTACCAACGTGCCCTGACTGAAAGCAGCGTTGGAAAGAGCACACAGTGACTCTTGGAAGGTAGCGCTAGCAAGTTTCCCATGGCCAAACTGCTGTCACTTAAATCCTCGCTCTCCGACTTACTAGCCAGGTGACCTTGGGCATGCTATTAACCTCCCTGTGTCTCAATTTCCTCACCTGTGAAGCTGGTACTCTCTGCTCCCCCACTACGGTTGTTTTGAGAAATAAATGATTACTGTTATTTACCATATGTAAACAAGGTACATATAGTACATATGTGCATTACATACTATTATTTTTCTATAAAATTGTTTATTTACTAAAACAATATTCTCACTATAATATTATTTGGTATAAAAAGGTGTTAACTTAATTTTAAAGTTTACCTTTGTCCTTAGCCATAATAATTGGTGAAATCATGGGTTTGATGTGCTAACCACATTTTTTCTAATACTCATTAGATAATTACTCAATTATCCTAAGAAAGAGGTTTGTCTATGCACTAACTAAAATCATCTTGCAGATGGCATCGTGTTTAAGGGGACTGGTTTAACTCTCAGTTCTACCACTTACCAACTGTGGGACCCTGAGCAAGTTAACAATGCTGTGCCTCTGTTTCCTCATCTTTAAAGTGAGGCTGTTGTAGAGATTAAATGTAACATGCTTAGAACAGTGCCTAGCACGCAGTGAATGCTTTTTGGGGTTTGGTTTACAATTGTAATTATGATTATTATATATCAACAGCGGTAAATGTACCACATATTGGAACATGCCACATCATTTTCTTCTCCCTAGAGGGTGAAAACTCTACTAATGCATTTTTGTTCCCTTTCCTGTAGATGTAGAGTCCATTTTTTTTCTTATCTTTACAATGAATCTAAAACTGGTTTGTAGGAATAAGGTCGATCCACATGAAATTGCTGATATTTGACTTTTTTTGACTTCCCCCAAATAACTGGCCCTCCCCAGTAATGTCAGTTGATAGCAATGATTGCCAGATCAAGTTTCTCCTGATATTTGGATCTTGCTTACAGGGCACCTGTTCAAACCTCATTGGTGAGATCTCCCCTCCACCTGCAGGCCTATAGAAAACAACCTCAGCCACCAGATCTTTGGGTTGGGAGACTAGGGTTTCAATTTCTATTACTGCTGAAGACCAGTGCGGGTCAGGGCTACCGTCAGCAAATTCATCCTCCCTCCCTACTCCTCCCCGCCACCGTGCAATGTAGTGTGGGCACCCTCTTCCCCCTGCCCACGGGCCCTCTGGTGCTGAAATGTTTAGTGAGGGCCAGGTATGGTGCTGAGAGTCCCATATATGTGTGCCATTTAATCCGCACAGCAAACCTGTGGCTTGGGTATTATTACCTCTATTTTAAGGATGGAGAAACAGGCCCAGAGAATTTGAGTAGTTTGCTCCCTGTGAACTGGAAGTTTATACTTTGGGGCTTGAGAAAATAAATTACTTAACGCCTCTCCTTGCTGCAGTTATGTGCTAGCTTTTTCTCTTCTCCATTATAAAGACTATCTAGGTAAAGGAGTCAGAGGTCCCTCGATGAGAAGTATTATATAAATTCAAAGCATAATTATTGATTGTACATTCTTTCATTAAACAAACAAAATATATGCTAATGCTAAATTCACTCCAATTTTCCATTTTGCCATCCTTTGAGAAATAAGCCAATAAACCATTACACACTTAGCTTCCTGGGGAAATGAATTTAAATGTTAATATAAATCCTTTTAGAAAAAAACAAATTTTAACAAATAAGTATTTGAACAAGGAGGGTACTTAACCACGTTCAGAATGAGAAACGTTCAGTTCAAGACCCTTGGTGGCTGTTGAGATAAGCTCTCTAAATTTAATATTTTATAATAGACTCACACCTCTTTTGTTAGAAATGGAGAAACAGAATCATTTTCTTTTCCCCTTTATTGGAATATATTTAAATCTCTCCAATTTTATTTTGCTAATAGGCAGGGCAAAGTCTGTCTATAAATGTATCCTGACTTATCACAGGTAATCCCACACTCCAGTATTCATGTGTAGTACTTAACCTCAATTTAAATGTAAATTTTGGGCAACCACAAGTGCTTTATCTGTGAACTTTGAGAGCTCTCTTCATTAATGAGGTCTGCACTAATTATAAGCAGTTTTGCAAGGTTTCCTTAAAACAATTGCAGAATTGACCCCAAAATGAACAAATTCAGAATTTATTTGTTTTAAAAAAAATACTGGCACCCTTGTGCAAATTTCTAGCTCCCGGCTACTCCCAAGGTGTGCACACAGAGGGGAGGTGGGCAGGATGATAACAGAAATGAACTGTACCAGAAAAACCAAGGAAAATGAAATGAAAGGCAACTGGATTTACCCTCAAATAGGACCTCTCTTCTTGATGAAAGAAACCATACCCTCTCCTCATCTGAAAAAAGTTTTACTATGAAATATTCTTGGTTTCTCTCTTTCTGACGATTCAAGTCAGGAATATGCAATTTAGCAGCAACTAATGAAAACAGGACCATTAAATTTCTCATGAAAGCAAAAAAAAACCCCCACAAAAACAATTTTCGAATACTCACAGGTACATCCACATATTTGGAAGCTGCCTTCACCTAAAGAGGAAAGAAGAGGGCAGAAGTGAGGCTGGTGTTTATGCTTCATTGTCCACAGCTCAGTGCTGTCTGTCATCATCAGTTAACACAATACACTGGTACCCGGAGCTGACCAGGAAACACAGAAAGGTACTAAAAAATGAAATGTGATGGCTATTTTCTTCCCCATGCCATAGCACTGCTTTGGAGAGAAAGAGAGAAAAGAGAGGAAGAGGGACAAAGGGAAGGAAGGGAGGTGAAAGGGAGGGGGAAGGAAGGAAGGAAGAAGGAAGGAAGGAAGGGAGGGAGGGAGGGAAAGAGAGAGAGGGAAAGAGAGAGGGAGAAAGAAAAGAAAAGAAAAGAAACTAAGCAAATATTTACTGATTGGGATCCTGTGGCTGGTGTGGGAGTTTTGTATTTTCTCTGTCCCTTTAAAAAGAAGAAAAGTGACTCTAGCTAAACCAAAATTGATTAGTGAGGGCTTGCTAGTCTAGAAAAGCACCTAAGGCTCCTGTGATTTCTTGTACCTGGGGTCTTTTTGTCATTTGGTCGCACATTTGTCCTAATGGAATCCTTGAGTTTCAGTAAAGTGTCTGCAAGAGGAGGGGATGTGGTGGGTGGGCATCCTTAACCCAGAGGGGGATAGGTATCTGTGGGTGGGGTTGAGAGGGTACCAGAGCCTTTTAAAGCCCGTCCCAAGGCTGCTGTTGTGTCTTCTGGTTTGCTTTTTTTTAAAGATTTATTTATTTATTTGAGAGAGCGAGAATGAGAGAGAGTACATGAGAGGGGGGAAGGTCAGAGGGAGAAGCAGGCTCCTCGCTGAGCAGGGAGCCCGATGCGGGACTCGATCCCGGGACTCCAGGATCATGACCTGAGCCGAAGGCAGTTGCTTAACCAACTGAGCCACCCAGGCGCCCTTCTGGTTTGCTTTTTAAAAAGATTTTATTTATTTATTTGAGAGAGAGAGAGAGAGCACAAGCACATGACCAGGGGGAGGGCAGAGGGAGAAGCAGACTCCCCCCTGAGCAGGAAGCCCGATGTGGGGCTCGATTCCAGGACCCCGAAACCATGACCTGAGTGGAAGTCAGATGCTTAACTGACTGAGCCACCCAAGTGCCTGTCTCCTGGTTTTAAATACTAAAAACCCCAGATGGAAAGTGCAGGAAGTGGTTATGAAATTTATTTTCAGGTTTTGGGGAGAGAGTGTGGTATACTGTTTGAGAGCATGGGAATTTGGAGTCAGATCTGGGTTCAAATCCAAGCTCTATGACTTACAGGCTGTGTGACCTTGGGCAAGCTACTTCATCTCTCTGAGTCTCAGTTACCTCATGGGCAAAATGCTACTAGTAGATACCTATTTCAGCTGGGTGATCTGAAGGTGAATGTACACAAAGTTCTGGGACAGAATAGGCATGAAACAAATGGTAGCTAAGAGGAGCAATTCATAAGCAAATGTGGGTGGGCTCTGTGTGCTGGGAGAAGTCAATGCACAGCTGGCTTTGAGGAATAAAACCTATGGGAGTATGTTTGATATTCTGTGTGTTTCATTTGGACTCAGGTCATGTTCCTTCAGGCACAGGTGAGATCAATGGGCTACATTTGGGGTCTGAGAGGGTTTTTAGTCTTATTGGAAACCACATAGACTGCGAAGCACATCAAGCAGTTAGGACATCTTTCACATCACAGGTAGGCTGCTTCTTGCCATTTGGCTGAGTCTGATATCAGGAATCACAGCTTTTACCCACATGTCTCCCAGGAAAGTATCCAGGGGAGCATTTCCCCTTATTGCTCTTTTTTCAAAGCTACTTTTCACAATACCAACTCCCAAGGGAGAGAAGCCAGTGAGCCAAAGGGGGTGGGCAAGAGCCCAGGATTAAGAGTCCAAAATTCTATGAGTGGCAGAACTAGTTGACCCTGAGATAATCACATCAAGTTCCACAGCCTTGGTTTCCAGAATGGGGTGTAATTCTGTGTACTTTGCAGGGCTGAGAGCCTGACCTAGTGAAAAAAGCATATGAGAAAGTGCTTCATAAACTTTAAAAGGCTGACCACACACATCGAATAGTTAATTATCGAGAGGGCAATGCATCCAAACATCTGGAATCATCACCAGCACCCAAGATAATTCCTAGATTCTCCTGTTATAGATTCTTTTAGACCCCTACATGCAGGACTGATTGCAACTGTAATTCAGTAATTTTGTGCAATGTCTGTCTCCCACAGAATGTCATGTCTTGCTCACAGCTGTCTCCCCAGTGACTCACTTGGTACCTGGCTTAGAAAGGGCACTCGGGAAAAATGGGCAGAAGGAAGGAAGTAGAGGAAGCAAGTGACCAGGTTGGTTGAGGAATAAGCAGGGGAATGGCCAGATTGAGAAGCCATTGCGTGAGTCAGTGTGAAAGGCAACATTCTGAAAGCTGACCTCTTGCAAAGGCTGGTGGGTGAAAGAAGGCCCATTTTGGGCCATTAAAGGGATATCAGGAAAGCTTTCCAGATTTCACACAATTAACATTTCTACTAAATGATCCCCAACACCAAATCTTTCCTGTCCATTCCAGATGCAGAATTTAGTTTGGGCAAGAAGGTGGCTTTCCTTTCTTTTAAGTCTCCCTCACAATAATATCTAACATTTATATGATGTTTTTTGCTTTGCAAAGCAGATTCATGTACAGTTTCTTCTTTAAGCCACCCTGCAAAATGGGGGCTATGAAGCATATCTATTTACAACTGAGAACATTAAACCCACAGAATTTAAGAAAGCATTTGCTCATGATCTAGGCCAGAAGGCAGAGAAGGCAGGACTCAAATGTGGTCTCCTGAGCTCCAATTTTTCCTTTGGAACTCCTGACCTCCTCCCCCATGGTAGAAATGTACAGGAGGAATTCAAGCATCAGTCGTTGGGGCAGGTGCCGACAAAATAATTCTTCTCAACTAGAAACTGCCTCCTTTGCTCTGTGGAGTCGGTGCTTGGCAGTTGGTAAAAGTTTTGCTACAGCTGAAATGATCAACCTTTAAACACGCCTACTCTCCATTTACCACTAACATGCAGTTTCAATTCAGAGAATGACACCAGTCAAGTTCTATTCCTTTCAAGGCAGTTTGGGAAGATCAGGCAAGCTCTATGCCATGAATGAAAACCATACATTCGACTACATGCAGCAACCTTTGGTTTCTCCCTGGATAACTGTTGACTTATACTTTGTCTTATTGATCTTCCTCCCATCCCACAGTAACAGGAACAAATAGCTCAGAGTAAATTGTGGTCCTATGATTATTTAGAAAAATGTGGTGTATCCCTTTTGGTTCTGGCCACTGCCCTTTAAGAAGGAGGTTGACGAGGCTACAGGAGCGTCTTCTTATAAGGAAAGTGAAAGCAGAGATATCTTGCCTAGAAAAGGAAGGGCTTGTGTGGCATTAATTAAGCAGCTTCCATGTGGAAAGACTGAACTTTTTCATGGTGGCTCTAGAGAACAGAATCAGGATGGATGAGTAGAATGAAGAGCCCCAGGAGACGGTTTAAACGGCTCTCTCAGTCCATCCAGGCACTGGTCATCTCTGATGGTTGAGGAGCTCAAGCAGGAGCTATGTGGGCTGCTCTGGATGTGAGCCTTTCCTTCCCTGTGTGACAGGTTACCTCCAAGGCTGCTTCCTCTTCTGACTCTAGTCTCCTTAAGAGGCGAGAAGATTCCATCAGTTCTCTCTCTTTTTTTTTTTTTAGGTTTTTTTTTTTTTTCTTTTATTTATTTATTTATTTATTTATTTATTCTTACGTTAATCAGTTCTCTCTTTTTATAGTAGACACTGAGATACAGCAGAGTGAATAAACTGGCAAAGCCAGCATCAGAACTCTGGTTCCCGAACCCATTCCTGCCTACCATCAACAGTGTTGCCTTTAAACATCACATTTATTTTCAGTGTCCATAGGGTGTGTTTTTGCCAGCTATATTCTGAAAGGAAGGACCAGATCCTCCCAACCCATGAGGGCTTCAGAATTATTGCCAAGGGTCAGAAAAATTCAAGTGCACACCAGACACTGTCTCTAGATCAAATAACAGGCCTTACGGTCTATGCAAGATGCTTTCCCACTGTATATAGATGTTATTTTAATGAATAAAACACATTTCTTTAAAGGTACTACCTATATTATAGAATTTTGTCATTATGTATGTTTTCCCATCAGTGGTTCTCAAAAGTGTGTGTGTGTGTGTGTACGTGTGTGCTATTTTCTTTTCTTTTTTAACTTTAAAAGAAATCTTCCTGGTGAAGTAGCTAAAAAGATGAGCTCAGGATTGGTGGGATTGGTGGGGTTAGAAGTCTGGCTTTGCCATTTTCTAGCTTGGTGACCTTGAGCAAGTTACTGAACCTCTCTGAGCCTTCTCTGTAGATGGGATGATCATAATATCACTCAAAGGGATACTGCAAGGATTGAATGAGATAATCCATCTAAGTGTGTAGAACAGTGCTAGCACAGGGTAAAAGCTACTTAAGGTATCTTTTCTTCATGGTTACTGGAAATATTGGCTTATTGGTGTAGATGAAGTGCATGCTCCTTGTCCTGGTAATGGTGGTGACAGTTTCACTCCTCACCTCTAGCCCATGGGCAATTTCTTGGCATAAAAAGGATGCTGGAATCTCCCCACGTTATCAGCAGGTATCTGAGCTGGTTCTCAGTCTGGTATGCTTTCTGCCAATTCACTGAACATCTTGTATACTAGAGACTCACCCTCAAAACCTTGAGGCAAACGGCAAAGATGTGTTGCTTAATTCAGGATGGCTGAGTTTAGGCATGAGTAATAAGGCAGTTCCCCAGGCCAGGGTGCTCAGTTATATTCAATCACATGTACCTCCTGCTCTTTGGGACCAAGCCATGTGCTCTGGGGTGCAGGAGATAAGGGGGAGAGGAAGGAGTTTGCCCCAGATACCTGGTCAGATACCCGGTCTGGCACATTTTCTAAGTTGGCACTCAACTGCCCTAAGGGAAAGGCAAGAACTGTGACTTCAGCCACATGTCATTTCCTGAA